TAGCGACAGGGACAACATATTAATTCCAACTAAATTTGCACCTGAGTCAACGGCCACTTTTATCCAGGGACTCATGGGCATGGGTGTTCATCAGGTAAATCATGTACGTAATGATTCCAAAGGGCGTCTCTTGGATTTATTCTTTACTAATGATTTCACCAACATTGCAATTGAGCGTGTTGATAAGGCCAATGCACTGAAGAAAAAAGTAGAAGGTCATCATCCACCGATAATGGCTATATTTGAATGGCACGGAAACAATACGACAGGAGCCAATACCACAACAAAAGCATTCAATTTCAAGCGAGCCAACTATAGCGACATGAATGCACACCTAGCAAATGTCAACTTCACCGAATTATTCCACGGAAAGACAATCACTGAGAAAGTGAACTTGCTGCACAAGACTCTGGACGATGCAATTATCAAATTTGTGCCTACGTACATCGTCAAGTCGATACAAAAATGTCCGTGGAAAAACAAATTTCTCATAACTTTGAAAAATAGGAAGAATAAGGCATGGAAACGATACAGACGATCAGGCTACCATCAGTCGTTTGAATGGAAGTATATTTGGGCGTCCCGTGAATTTGAGAAAATAAAACGTGGAACTGTACAATACATACGTGGACAAAATGAAATCGTCACTTAAGCATGATGCATCGAGATTCTGGCAATACGTAAATTCGAAGAAGAGCACCGACAACAAACCAAAGGTCATGCAACTTGGTGATGTACGCACAGCAAACGAAACAGAACAGGCTAACCTGTTTGCTAATCTCTTCAGTAGCAACTACGATGACTCAACGACTCAAGACGCTCAGCGATCGTCTACCGAAGAGTCACAGCAATCTGAGGATTTTCAGCTCGACATTAATTTTGTGCTTGAAGAGCTAGAAGCCGTAAACACCAAAAAGGGTATGGGTCCCGATGGTATGCATCCGATGATACTAAAGAACTGTGCGAGTCATTTGGCGGCTCCACTCACCGAGATTTTCAACGAATCATTGTCGACTGGCCAATTTCCCGACAAATGGAAACGCTCGAGTGTGTCACCCATTTTCAAAAAGGGGGCGAGATCGAAAATTGAAAACTATCGTTGCATTGCTAAGCTCCAAACTGTGGCGAAGTTCTTCGAGCATTTGGTGAACGTCAAACTTCTGTCACTTGTACAGGACAAAATCACCAAAAAGCAACACGGCTTCATGAAGTCCAGATCTACTGCATCTAATCTCACCGAATTTACCTACTATGCCCAGAGAGGCATAAATTCAGGTGCGCAAGTGGATGTTCTCTACACGGATTTCAGTAGAGCGTTTGACAGAGTTAACCACAAGAGCTTGATTCTAAAACTCAGATCGTTCAACCTGCCAGACAATCTTCTTGCTTGGATCGAATCATACCTGTCAAATCGAACTCAATACGTTAAGTACGGTAGCAGCGAGTCGAACCAATTCAACGTATCATCTGGCGCACCACAGGGAAGCCATCTTGGACCCACCCTATTTTTGTTATTCATCAATGACATAGTGGATGAAATGGACGACGTGTTCATTTCCTTGTTCGCCGATGATGTAAAAATCGCCAAAATCATCAACTCGAGCACTGATGTGGAGGTGTTACAGCGGGCCATCGACAAACTGAAGGTTTGGTGCGACGTAAACAATTTGCACCTGAACCTTGACAAATGCGCCGTCCTTACAATCACCACAAAAAGGAAGGACATCATCGACACTGATTACAAATACGGTGATTTCACCTTCAAGCGCGTATTGGACCACAAAGATCTCGGCTTCATCATTGATCAGAAGCTTAGTTTTGTCAAACACATCGACGTAATTACATCGAAGGCGACAGCTGCTCTTGGATTCATCAAAAGATTTTGCTACGACATTACCGATGTTCAAACGCTCAAAACATTGTATTACGCTTTGGTTCAGTCTCATCTTGAGTACTGCAACGTTGTATGGCTGCCAACTTATGCCATACATATCGACAAAATCGAGAGCGTTTTAAGAAAGTTCACACAGTTCACCCGAAGAGAATATCGTACAGCGGCCAACGGATACAATATCACCGAATACAACAAACGACTGGGAGCGCTGAGCATGACATCGTTGGAACGTAGGAGGGTGAACGCTTCAATTGTGTTCATGTACGACATCGTGAATGGGATCACAAATTGTCCCAATGTACGTAACGACATAGCAATTGGAGAGAGCGTACGTATCTTACGGCACACAGACTATCTCAAGATTAAAGATAAGCTCATGGACAAACAAATCAGAGCTCAAGTGCCTCAAATGTGCAAGTTTGCTAACAAAGTGGCTGATCAATTCAGAAACTCAACCAGCCGTGCAAACTTATAAGCCATGAACTGTGAGTAACTACGTGTACCTAGTGTCATGACTACGTGTACCTAGTGTCATTACTACGAACTCACATGAATTTTAAGTAATCTCTCGTAATCTCTAAATCTGGTTAAATTTCGTTAAATACAGTATTTGGAGAACGCTAGGAAGACCGTGTTAATAAATTGTTAAATTTCCACATTTTATAAATTCAAAATATGATATATTCATTGGACTAATAAATTGTAAAAAATACACATGAAAAAAATAAATTCATTTAATTTTTCGGTAGAAATCTAATGATAAACTTCAAACGTATTCCCTTTTGAATCTCAATGAACAAATCTCATTACTCCTGAAATGCATTGACACATTTGGTAACTTCGATCAACCAAATGAAATTGAATTTGCTTCGGTAGAAAATCGAATACTAAATGAATTTTCAATGTTATTGAAGCATTTATTTATTCTTAATATTATTTATTTTAATAAATATATTTAAAAAAAATGAATAACATTCTTATTAAATTTAAAAACTTTGTTTTTCTGTGTACGTACTTAACTCACATTAAGTACGAACCGCCATTGCTGTATATTGCTGTAGTGGCAGCCATTTTCCTTTTGACACATTGAAGATGTGATAATCATTGAAATAAAATAAAATAAATATAATAAACAAATCAAGTTGGAATACACA